ACAATTAGTCATTAAGCTCACGGAAGCACGAGCTCCCATGTTCACGTCTGAACAGGGAATGTGTTCAGGGGACTGCAGAATCCAGTGACCACTTAGCCTGACCTGGTTCCTTCTGACCAGGCCGTGCTGAAAAGTGAACGTAACGAGGCAGCAGCAGGCCTGGGTGAAAAGAAGAGAAGCAGGAACTAGAAACCCCGGGCTGTAGTCTCAGTTCAGCTCCTTCAAGCTGTGCAGCCTTGGACAAACCAGCTCACCACCACTGGTCTCAGTTTACGCACCTGTGAAATGGCCTGAATCTTAAGATACCTTGCAAGACATCTGTGAGCGAAGCAGCCAGGCCCTATCAGGCACAACCTTTGGTGTGACATTAGCGTACTCAAGGTCATTGTTGGTAGGTGTTTCTAGCACTGTGCTCTGCGGAGGCCCCTCTGTGGGCCCTCTGACAAAGAGAACAATCACCACCTGAGGGTGTGACCTCTCCCCTCTTGCCAAGTCTGTGCCTTCCAAAATTGCTGTCACAGTCAGGGGGACCAAAGGTGGCCTCCCACAGGTGGGGCTTGCCCAAGCCTTAGTAGCAAGCCATTCTCTGAATGACAAAATCCTGCAGGCTTCCAGCTGAGGTTACAGGTTCCAGTCTAAACCATCATTTGTTGAACGGGACTCAATCAAAATGGAAACGTCCCCAGAAAGAGCACGAACACCTCAACCTGTATTCAGGGACTCCTTGCAAATAAGGCTCTCAGGCGCTCTCTCTCCAGAAAGCAAGTTCAGATGGAGGTGAGAAAGGGGGCAGCAGAGAGATCCAGAAGCTCAGTGTAAGAAGACACACTTGCCAACTTCATAATTTTGCATGCGAAATGCACATAATTGTGAGTGTATGTGTTGTTTTTTTTTTCTTGCAAAGTTTGTCCAAAGACATCCTCAGCTTCCCAAAGGATTCCAAGAGAAATGCCATGAGAAACACCATCAATAAGGATCTAGTGGCTAGAGAGCTTTCAAGTGTGTCTGTAACTGAAGACAGAAGACTGCAGGTCAAGAGGAGAAAATCGGAAGGCCTGCATTCTAGGGCCACCCTTGCCACCAACCAGCTTTCTGACCTTAAGCAAATCCCTTGACTATTCTGTCTCTCTAAAGATGAGGATGTTGGAAGCACAATGATCACTTAGCTTCAACACCCTGAAAAATACCAGGATTGTAAGGTTCAGCTTCAACAAACACAGGAAAAGATGTCAAGAAGGCCTGCACAGAATCCTGTCTGTTCCCAGAAGAGCTGCTTAAAATATTCGCCACTGCTTTCCTTGGAGGGGTCAAAGATAGAAGCCACCTCTCATTTCCTTCTCTTTCTTCTATTTCAGAAAGCCAAATTTGAAGTTTCACAATAATGCCCTTTGAAGGGATTTGAACCATGAAGTTCACGCAAAAGTACAGTAATTCTGTAAGGATGCATAAGAAGCTCAAAGGATGTAAAATAGAAAGAATTTCTCTAAAGCCTCATTACAACTCTTCTAATCACTGTAGCGACTTATTTTAGCCGGTGTCATCTACATCTGCTAATATATGTAACTGATGAAAATTAATTACGGGTGTCATAAAAATAGATGTTTTCATATAATCTTGGAAGTCTGGGTCAAAATGACTGCTCTTTTACGAGAGAAAAGTATTATCCTTCATTCTATGTAGCTCTTCTCTACCTTTACTAATAAACGTCTGATTTTCACCAAAGTGCAGGTGAGATGGAAGTCCACAATTATTCAGCACCAAATCTTTATTGTCACATAAGGCTGAATTTCACTGAAAGCAACTTTTTTCAGTTGCTTCACTTGTACATATTCTATAGGAGCCTAACTTGCCATGATACCATAAATTTTCAATCTAATTATCAAAGCCCACAAGTCCAAAGCAAACTTATATGTGGTTGTTCGCAGCAGCAAATTAAATTGAAGACTTTTCATAGGCACTTGCTAATAAAGAAGAGAAGGAGGGCCGGCCCAGAGATGCAGCAGTTAAATTTGCACATTCTGCTTTGGCAGCCCGGGGTTCACTGGTTCGGATCCCGGGTACAGACCTACACACTGCTTGTCGAGCCACACTGTGGCAGGCATCCCACAAATAAAGTAGAGGAAGATGGGCATGGATGTTAGCTCAAGGCCAGTCTTCCTCAGCAAAAAGAGAAGGATTGGTGGCAGACGTTAGCTCAGGGCTAATCTTCCTCCAAAAAAAAGAGAAGTATATGAAAATTGATGGCGTTTTTACAAGTCGTTACCAAATGAATGTTTAGAGCACCCCTGATGCAGTCTAAACGCCACTCCACAAAAGGATAAACTAATGTTCAAGGTTATGCATCAAAAGTCACATGAGAAATCGGTATGAAGTCAGACTTAGATGACTTCTGTAGCCGTAACTCCCCTATCACTCCCTCTCTGAAGCCATGGAGAGATCAGCACTTGATCTGAGGAGTCCTGCAATCTCACATATGCAGGACCGACTGATAGAAAACATCAGTACAAGTAGAACAGGAGTTGCTGTCACTCCAGAGCACAACACGCATTGCTCACTAGGCACAATTGTTCTCACCACATTTCAGGCTGCTTCTTCATCTTCATGCGTTCCAAAGGCAACAGTGAAAGGCAGTAATGTCTGCAAGCATCATTTCTCAAAGATAAAGAGTTCTGATAACCCAACGAGAGAAATGAGTTAAAACTCTGAGTAGACAAGACTAATGGATATTAGCAGATATTAGACAAGACTAATGTTCTGCAGCACCATCCTGTCCTATTAAACAAGGTCAGAGCTGGAATACGCAAAAGGGGAACAGGGAGAAAATCCAGAAGGGACTCTGCTAAAGAAATCTCTGCTCAGGAGAAAGAGTAAACTTGCTCTCCCAACTAAATGTCACTTTTCCAATGAGACCCAATCCTGAGGGCCTGACCCCTTGTGGTCTTTAAACATAAACCAAAACAAGGGTGTGAGTGTCAGATTTCCTGGCCCAATCACAAAGAGGTCAAAAATTAGTTAATTAGCAAAAATTCAAGTTTCTAGGAAACCAACCCCTCCTTCCTTCATTGCCAATCTCTAGAGAAAGCTTCAGTAGAGAACGTAGACATTTAATTATTTTGCGGGGAATAAAAGGGTCAAGAAGATATGATCGTTTACTGGACTGAGGCTGTTTCCCACATAAATGTATAATTCAAACCGCCTAAGGTGAGATCTCAGCTCCAGCTCCTCCAGAAGAATGAGGACCACCATGATCCTTCTACAAAATTCGGTGAGACTGTTTAGAAGATACTGAGAGGTTAGCTTCCTCTCCAGTTACTCCCCTATAAGCCAGACAAAGAAATTCCTGAAGGGCTATAAGCACTTTTTTCTTACAAGCTCCCACAGGAATAGGTCAATGTAAATGTCTTGTAAACAAAGCAGTCCGTTACTAACCATAGTTTGTTTCTTTTGTGAGAACATTTTAATCCATTGCAACTGCACCCAACATTCATCCATAGCTGCCCCTGAAGAAGAGTAAAATAGAGATTCATGACTGACCCTAGCCTCCGGCTTTTCCTCTGCTTGAAAATCAAGAGGGGCTGGGGGCTGGGGAATCCAAGTGTTTGATACTTTCTTCTTCGCTGTCTATGATCCAGCAGAGGAGGACTTTAATTTCCCTTCCAATCACTGCTACAGAGGCTGAGCGTGTGAGGAGTCCACAGACCACAATCAAACCCTTCACTGCCGGGCTGCTTTCCCACCATACCCCTTCCTCTTCAATCAGGTTTGCGAAGTGTTTTGCCTATTCTGCATTTCATGAATCAATTGCAAAATCTGCCAACCTCTGCCAGTTCCTCTTGTACTCAGCCGAGAGGTGCCCGTTCCTTCCCCGGGTAGCACAAGGCTGCTCTGGTTTTTAACTGGCGTAACGTGGAAATGCACTGCAGGAGCTCACTAACTCTTTCACAGCCAGAGGTAAGTCAGAGCGTGGGGCACCCACCCCATCTACTAGGAAACTGACCCACCCAGCTCAGGGTAAAGCAGATTCCTGGAAACTAGTTTTGATCCCAAATCCAGTGTGTCAGTTACTGTCACTGGGAAAGCAAAGGAGGGAGAAGGGCTACAAAGTATCCAACTCAGTTACTTAGCAACAGGACAAAACTTGCCTCACTACAGAGGGTAAGGAGGCATCTCAGGCCCATTCAAAGAGTAACAGTCTCCAATTTACATGCAAATAGACAAAAACAAAAGGGAAAGAGGAATCTACATTAGCAACTGGAGTTTACAGCAGTGGGGCTAAGGCCCAGATTTTAAAAACAGCTTCTCCTCGAAGGATCCAGGATATATACAGACAAACAAATATACATGAATGAATGAATGAACGAATGCAAGATCACAGGCCCCAAGAATTTACAGTCCCCCTTCATAAAAGTGAGTGCCATGAGGGAGAGGGCGTAGACAAACACAGAAAGTTTAGTAGCTAAAATTACACTTCCATTGCTAACACAAATTTAAGGATTACCGAAAGATGGCAATTGGAGGCTGGGAAAATTCCAGGGAAAGCAGTTCTCTCTGCTCGTGAGAAAAGCAAATAAAGTATCAATCTTGGGCGAAGGTCTCCAGGCTGAGGGTGGACTCAGAGCCTTTCCGGGTCCCTACACCCCCACACAAACACCCTCCTGCACCCACGAGTGAAGCAGTTTCCAAACTTGGATCAAATCCACACCTCTCACAAGAGACACATGGCCCTGAAGGTTTTCCAAGCAAGAGAGAGACACTGTCGCTGTCGCCTACTTGGCCCAGGAAAGTGCTCCAGGCTTTTCCATTTGCCCAAGAAGCTCAAACTTTTGGTCCCCAGCTCCTAGCCAACACCTGAACCAGGCTGCTCAGTCCCAGGCTCCGAACAGGAAGAAACAGGACAGAGGGCTCCTCTGCCCCACCCCCATCCCCCAACCTCACACCTGGACGAAGGTGGACAGGGCCCAGGGCTGCCCGGCAAAGGCCCCATCAGCCGAGCCACTTACTTCTCATACTCGGTGTTGTCTCTGTCACAGCGAGAATCCTTGTGCTTTTGCCAGTCTTTGCCATGCTTGCAGGTGGTGAGGAGCAGTACGTCCTCCCCGTTATGGACGTGATATAAGGCATTCCTGGTGTCTGACCCTATCCCTGTCAGGTACCTCTTCCCCTTGAATACCAGCATGTACTTCCTGAGAGGAGGGATGGTGTTAAACTTCAAAAACCCCCTCTCCCCTCCTGTCCTGGGATGATCTTTAGAAAAGAGGGGAATAGAAACGTCAAAGTTGGGTCGGAAGTTTTCAGTACTGATGCTGGCTTTAGCCAGCATCGCCTGGCCAATGTCAAACCCCACGTCCTCGGTGTAGTCAGGCCAAGTGCCGGAATATAAATTAAAAATTAAATGATTCCTACCATTGTTCCACAAGTGGAGACTCTGCACTTTGGATCTCAAATTGTGCACATACTGAGGTGACAACTGGTCTCTGTCTAAAGTATCCAGACTGAGGACAAAGAGGCACGCCTGGCTGGGGTCCGAGGTGTAGAACCTGGAGCCCTCGATGGCCGCTAGAATGTTTTGGTAACTTTCGGCGATTTTCTCCCCTTTTTGCTGCGGGTATACGTAGACTTTGAAGCCGTTTTTCTTGCAAAGGGTGAAATCGAAGCAGGACTCCATGCGGCACTTCTTGCCTTTGTAGATGCTCGAGTTGGCATCTCGCTTCTGCCGGGGGGAAATGTGCACGGTGGAATCCTCGTTTTCCAATTGATCCCAAGGAACGAAGGGGCGCAGAGCGTCCGGGAAGCGGGGCCAGAAATGATCCGGACTCGGGTGGTGCAAGCCATTCCGACCGCTGTGCTCTCCTCTCCGGCTGTGGCTCCTCGATGCCCTAAACTGCAAGCCTCCGAAATAAAACAAAAGGGCGAGACAAGAGCCAGCTGAGAGCAGGATGAAATAGCGTTTTTTGGCCTGCATGTGTCCTGCCTGGGTCAAGAGGATTGTAAATAAACACAAGAATCACCCAAGTTTCCCAATCAACACTTTCAGCTCCAGTCCGCCATCTTCCCGCCTGTAAAGACTTCAAACTCTCCGCTCCCACCTTCTCTGGATGCCTTTCCCCAAGCCGTGGACTGATCCAGCGCATGTGGGCGATTTCTTTAACTTTCTCCCCTTCGGTCTTTCATCTTTGGGTTGCACAATGGACGGAGAGCGGGGCTGAATATTTCGCACCCAGGGCGGGCAAGCAGCGGACTGTAATTTTCTTGCATGCAACAAGACGAAGGAAAAGAAAGAGAGGGGGGAAAAAAGCTCCCGATGCCCAATCAATGGCAAGACGAAGTGATTTCCTTGCCTCTCCGATTCCTCTCGGCAGCGTGGAAAACGAGCCCCGGGAAAGCAACTTCAACTCATCCACACTCGCGTGCAGAGCACTCCGGTTCCAACAAGTCAGCCGATCCCCGGGTTCAGCCGGCTAGTGCATCTTGCAGCTGGGGCGCCGTAACCTCACAAATCCCTGCATCTCTCTTTATTCCCTTCTGCAGCGGCTCCAAGACTCCGGCGGTGTTTACTCCTGCGCTCGCGGGGCCGGCCCCCGGGACGCGCGGCGGCCCGGCTGGAGGCGGCGGCGGCGGCGGCGCTGGGTGACGGCGGCGGCGCGTCCTCCCCGCGGGCAGTGCCGGCCCCGAGCGGCGCTTCGCAGGCCCCCGCGCGATCGCTGCCGACCGCCGCGTTCGGTCGCCGAATGTTACCCGGTTCTGAATGTTACACTTACACATTCCATTCCCGACACGACAGCGCTGACCTCATCCATCCACGCAGCCCGCGCTGCCATTGGCCGAGCGTCACGTCCGGGGGGGGCGGTGCTTCCGCTGCGCCCATTCATAACCCCCGGCCGCCGGCCGAGGCGCCGGCGCGGCGCGGGGGGCGCGGGGACGCGGGGAGCGCGGGCATCCCGGGGCTTGTGGGCCGCTGCAGGCGGAGCGGGGGGTGGCCCCTTAAGAGCCCCGCGGCCCCTGGGCGCGCCCGGCGGGCACCCCGGCCTGGGCAGCACCGCCCCCTGTCCCCGCGCCGGGAACTAGCGCCGCCCAGAGGCGCGCGCGGCGCCGGGGGAACCGGGCACCGGCCGGCGCTCCCGGGCCTCGCCGCTCGGGCTGCCCGGGGCGCCCTCGAGAATCCTGTCTCGTCGGCTGCCTACCGGGAACGCCTCCCTGAGCAGGCGGCAGGCAGGGTGCGGATGGAGCAGTGGGGCGAGCCCGAGGGATGGGGGAGGAAAGACAGACTTCACAGAAGGCCACCGCAGACCAGAAGGATGCCTCTCCCCGCCCACCTTTGGCACTCTGAGGCCCAATAATTTTATTTAAACAAGTCTCTTATTCCTTACACAGCCCATCTCTTTTTTTCTTCCCCCCAAAGGACGCCCCAATTCCCAAGAATAAAGAGAAAATATTGGAATCAATAGGGATTGTTACAATTCTCCATGGCTGTCTCTGTGTGCTGAGAGAAGACGCCTATCCTAAATGCTCATTATCTACGTGTACATCCCTTCCTCGCTTGCTGCAGCCCCTTCATCTATCTGTTCCGTAGAAAGCCTCCAAGAGATCCAATCACGGTGAAAAAAAAGAGATTTTCTAATGGCTGAGGCGAAATTGGTTCATTTAAGCTGGTCAAGCTTGTCCCAGTCCCTAAAGTGATGATATTCCCATTTTGTGGTGGTTTTTAAGGCGAAGTCTCTTAGGGATGGATGACTAGCAGAACTGACAGCTGTCCCAGCTGTAGAAGGGAAATTTGAGGCAGGAAGTGACTTTAGTTATCATTAGCGCAAGATGGTTGGTCCTTCCTTCAACTGCCCTCACACACCCCAGCCCCGAGATCCTGCTATCTATCCTGGGAACTTCTTTGGACAACTCAGCTGAAGACCTCCAGTTCCTCTGAAGGTCCTCCAGGACCGCAAAATAGTGCTGGCTTCCAAACAGTATTTCTGGTCAAAGCCCAGCTCCCTGACCTCAGAGTCTGGATTTGGCTCTACAGAGATCATCTCCCACCCTCCTCTCTAGCTGGAGTCACAGGGGCTGGCCAAGCTGGACAACCAGTTGCCTAGGGCAGCAAGCTGTTTAGTGATTGTTTATTATGGGAGTGAGTGAGAGCTAAGGACAGACACTTCCCAGCCTCCCTCAGGCTGCAGAAAACTCCAGCAGGGTGTGTACCAAGGGCAAGGTTAACAAGGCAGGGTGACATGATCAATGGAAAATCTTACACGTTTGTTGTTTCAGATCTGTTTTAATAAAGGGGGGAAGGGGCGTGGGTGGGACATTACTGTACATTCCTAAAGCCTCTCCCTGTTTCTGCCCTCCAGAGATGAGGTAGCTTTTCCAGATTTGACTTGTACCCCCTGCACAATTTGGAGAGGCCTGAGACAGAAATGAGGATTCAGTCATCTTCCAAATATGATGACAATGATGCAGATAAATGCAGTGATGGAAACCACATGTGACCCAGGGCTCCCCCCCAACCCCCCAGCCCGGGTGGCTCAGAGCAGCCGTCTATGGCAGGTCTGGGCCCTGTGGGAGTTGGGGCTGTGGATTGGAGCCTCTCTGTATCCTACCAGTTGTCCTGGGTGACCTCAGGGGGAGCCAGCGACTGTCCTTGCTCTTTTGGGTTCTCTTCCTGCTTTGGCGCATGTTTCTTGCCTTGCCTAACCCACTGCTGATTCCATCCTCCTACGCCCCAGGGTTACCGGCCCTACTGTCACATTCCATAGTGGTGTATATTGTGGGAAAAACTTTGGTACTGAAAATTAGAGAAAACTTGGATTCAGACCCCATTTACAAGTGCCTTGGGCATGTGGCTAAATCTCACTGAACCTCGGTTCCTCATTGAAAAAATCAGAATATTTTTCTTGCCAACTTTTTTGAATTTGTAAACTGTAAATTGCTCTACATGTGCTAATATTTTTTTGCCCAAGTTCCTCATTTCAAAATCCAGCTGGAGTCTAACGTAGCCCCTACAATGGCGTCATCATTGCATCTCCCTCTGTTTTATTTTCTTCCTAGCCCTTCTCATTAGCTGAAGTCTTTTCTTTGTTCATTTACTGTCCGTATGTCTTCACAGTCAGAGGAGCTCCCTGGGAGCAGGAGCGCTATCTTTCTTCCTCCTGAATCCCCAACGCCCGGGATGGTTCCTGGAACGTAGGTGGAGCTCAATCACTGATTCAAATGATAAATTAGTTATGAAAATGTGACTTCACCACAGCTCTTAAACATGCTGGAAAAGAAAGACCCACATGGCAGTCTCTCAAAGCAGGACTGAGTCTCTTGTTCAAGGTGGAAATATAACTAACCAGGAATATCTTAACAGAGGGCAAGTCAGTCCATCATAAATCCTTTAAGAATATATGTCAGATTGTGTAATTCCTCTGGTCAAAGCCCTCAAGGGATCTCTGAATCTCTGAGCCAAAGACCTTACAATGACCTAGAAGGTCTCGCAGGATCTTCCCTGTCTCCCACCTCTCCTTGCAGACCCTTCTCACCTGATTTCCTGCCAATAACTCTCTCCCTCCATCCCAATCTACTCACTCTTCTCCAGCTATGCTGCTTTCCTTGCTGTTTCTCATACACAACAAACATGTCCCTGCCTCAGGGCATTTGCACATGCTCACCTGTGCCAGTCTGCCCCCAGTATCCACAGGACATGCTCCCTCACTTCCTTTAAGTCTCTTCTCAAATGCCATCTTACTGTTGAGGCTGCCTTTGACCACTATAAATAAAATAGCAATCCCTTGCCTATTTTCCTATCTCCGCACCCTGCTTTGTTTTTTTCCTTTACACTGATCAACATCTGATATACTCTATATTGACTTGTGAATGTATCATTTCTCTGTGACATCTCCAATGTGGTCTTCTTGTTTCCAGCTATCTCTCCAGCACCTACAACACTGCCTGTCACTAAATAAGTATTTGTTTAGCTAGTTAATTAAATTTGATCCCATTGTCTATAGAGACAAATAGAGAATATTCAAGGTTGGAATTCTGTTATCACTCGCACACACACACACACACACACACAAAGCTGAAGTTATCCCAGTGATTCAAGCCTGCTTAATTTCCTTTTCTAGGAGTAATTCTTCCCCAGGGCTGATTAAAGACCTGAAAACAGCATGGCCCCCAGGAAACCCAGAAGATGTTGATTCTCATCTTGGCTCTGCTGCTTCCTCTATAACCTTGAGCGAGTCACTTCACGCCCTAAGCAGTGGGTTCTCATTGGTAAAATCAGGAGTAACTGTCCTATAATGCATATCACGTTCTGCTCTTTGGGTTACCGTGAGAATCAAATGAGAACAAATGGACAATAGATGAGAAAGCCCTTTGCAGCCCATAGGGTACATGGCAAATGTAAGATTTGATCATCACGCTCTTGGTCAAATATGGACACAAGTGCATGAGATCATGGTTGCAAGTCCACAGCATTACATGCATGAAGCATCACCCACGAAACACACAGCAGTTTCCAGATGCTTCACATACTCTGGAACGGTCATTGACTATTGTAAACAGGAAAAGGAAAGAAGAAGAACTCACTAATGGACAAAAAGCAAAGAAGAACTTTTTTTTGTATATAAAGCACCAAAAGCGCAAATGCTTTTCAGGAATCTACAATTATATTTGCTGTAGGAAAAAATAATTGACTCCAAGATGTGAAAACAAATTAAAATATTGAAATCAATAAATATTTAAATTCTCTAAAACGTAACTTTAGGTTGACTGGCAAGGCAATCCAATCGTTGTAAAGTTACACCTGATTTTTACTTGCCATGGACACATTTTAATGTTTTGGTGATCTGTGATGGGGTCTCTAACAGGAAGCATTCCTGGCTCTTCGAGAGGTTGGGAAACTGCTGGGTATATGCTGACTGGTTGTAGGAGGTGGGAAAAGACAGGCAGGCCAAGGAAAATTGGGGCATCATGGAGGAGTGGCGAGATTCCCAGCCAGGAACCAAGAGCCCAGTTTCCAGTTCCTTCTCTGTGGGAACTCAGGGAAACCTGGAGCGCGTTGTTCCTGAACGCCAGGCCTTGAGGGTTTCATCAGAAATGCAGGGAGGGCCTTGGTGCTACTGTTCCAGCTGAAACAGTCCAGGATGCTCTGTGTAGACCAAGCCGGTAGAGGAGGGGAGGAGCTTGGGAGGGAGGAAGCGGGAACTCCACTGAGAAGGGAGGGAATCCTGGAGGGGAAGCCAGCGGCTCTATCAGGCCTCTGCAGGGCAGTGCAGCCAAGCAGGGAAACTAACCTAACCAAGGGTGAAACATGGATGTGTCAAATCCCAAGCCAGGTGCTTCCAACGCATTGTCTCTGCAACCCTGACCCTCACCAGGTTTCTAGGACACGAGTACTCTCCTGCTGCCATGTTGCAAATGAGGAGACCAGAACTCAATCCTCAGAAGGGTCTCTGGGCAAGTCATTCTTTTTTTTCTTTTTTTTTTTTTTGAGGAAGATTAGCCCTGAGCTAACATCTGCTGCCAATCCGCCTCTTTTTGCTAAGGAAGCATGGCCCTGAGCTAACATCCATGCCCATCTTCCTCTACTTTCTATGTGGGACGCCTACCACAGCATGGCGTGCCAAACGGTGCCATGTC